GGGAAAACAAAAATAAAAAAATTTGAAAGGACAGGGTGGGGTGGCCAAACATGGCCCTCGCTTATGAAAATCAAACTGCATATGGGAAAAACGTTGGGGCCACACCATACCCCAACACAGAGCACATGTGTGTGTGTGTGTGGGTGTGCATGTCCTAGTTGTGTCCAGTTTCATTTTCGAAGGGCCCCTACGAATAAGCAAGGACCCCTTGTGGAACAAAGATGGACATTAGATTTAAAGTTTCTCTACATGGGCCAAAAATATATAGTCTGGATTCAAATTCAGGTCTGTGCGTTACAGTTATGGGTCACTAATTCGCTGTTTTTCCGTTTTTCTTTTGTTTTCTCGTTTTCCTTTTGTTTTCTTCTTTTTCTTTTCGTAGGGATACGTGCAGTCGCCCTAAGGGCCTTTACTTACCACATGCAAAAAAGACAAAACATATGACGATGCATTATTCTACGTTCTACCAGAAGATTCATTCTAATTTTGCACATTTGGTGAGTACAACAACCAAACCTTGAGAATCACGTACAAAAACCAACAGGGCCTAGCTAAGTGAGCGACTCATAACTGCTGAAACAAAGACTTGAATACGAATCCTGTGTATATATTCAGCCACCTTATGTTCCACTTCGTATTCACTGTCTGCCTCGATTTTGGTGGAGGGTCCTTGCTAAATTGCTGCGAGGACCACCACCGCCGAATTGCCCGAAGAAGGAGGAGGAGAAGAAGAAGAAAAAAAAAAAACGAAAAAAAAAACAGCAAAGAAGAAGAACGAAAAAAAAAACGATGAAGAAAAACAAAAAGGAAAAAAAATGAAAAACAGGAAAGAAGAAAAAAAAAGAGACGAAGAAGAAAAAATAAAATTACCTCTGTAAAATTTTTAGAAGGACTCTAACTCTATATTAGTCATGAAAAAAATAGAAAAAAAACAAATCGGGCTTTTCATATATATATATATATGACATATATATATTTCAAACGGTTTTTGTTATTATTTTTTTTTTAATTTATGAATGAAGTAAAATAAATATATATATATATTGTGGTTGTCGGGTTTTGCAAACCTTACAAACCCATATTTTTTTAATTTGTTTTCACGTATATTTCGATCCCAAAACAACATCCGAAAAACGGGTTGCAAACTAGGTTTCCTGACTGCGGCCGCGGCGGTCAGATTGCACGTGGTTGTGGCCGCGGGTGTCACGTAGGCACTAGCCCACCCATCCGTTCAACCATAGACAAGAACATGGGGCTCGTTTTCGTCTTCACTCTTCGTCACCGTCAGACCTTTGTCGTTCCCGGTTTGACACAATTTGGTTGGATTAGGCTCCTATGGGATGAAAAATCTCATGCCCCTCTACCCATGGGTTCCCTAACCTCTCTTGAGTCTCTTACCACCAGGTTATCCGACTGAAAACCAACACCTGATTTATACAAAGTGTTCAAAATAGTCTTTTTCCCACGATACAACTTTGTCTTTCACAGGTTCCCTCGAGACAATTGCCCCAGCCGGGCCTCATACTAATGTCTTTTGGCAACCCTATCTCTTGACCATCTCAAGGCAGCTTATATAGGAAGTCGTTCATGAATCATCCATTACTAGTCCGTTGTGTCTTTAGCTAACTTAATCCAGCCGTACCCAACCAATCTTATTCTTATTCATTGCCTGCTATAATCACAACCGCTATTTGCAATAAGGCTCGTGCACATTTTCCCTTGTCTATTTTCCTTCGCTTCCACTGACCCCTCATAGCTTGGCTTCTTGACGTGCTTCTAACCAAAGTTGCTCATCACAACCCAGGCTATAGGTCCTGATCTCTTTATTTTTCCTTACGAGCCTCTCTAGCCCTTCCTCGCCGAAGAAGCACAAAGGTGTGACCAACTCCCCCCTCCTCATTATTTGCCGAGCCTTAATGATCCAAGAATATCTTACTACACTGGCCCATTGGTTAAACCAGTCACTACATGTTGACCCAAATTCCTTTTCCCATTTTGAGGTCCCGTCTTTCGACTCGTCTGGTGTCGACTATCCTTCCTCTATAGGTCTAATTATCTCATTCTCCTCTCCCATACTGCATTGTCAATAATATAGCGGGGTTCTTCGTTGACCTAATTTTCTTCCTTCTGTATAGGGTTATACTCCCTCTTATGGCCTTCTGATTCCCGATAGTGCGGCCGACTAGAGTCCCCGCCATATTGCTCGTCATATCCCTCGTAGCGTACTGTGTTCTTACCAGAGAGTCTTTGCCCCCAATCCTCATCCCTTCCTTCTCTCTTTTCTAAACTTGTTCCCCCCCTATCACTCTCATTTTTCGACGAGATATCGATTTTCTCGCCCTCCTTGAGGGGAGAGGGCCAACTACAGACAACTTTCTTTTTCTTCTGATGAAATGTAGGCACGAGTTTGAGACCTATGAACAATTTTCTTTTTTTCTTCCCCGGTTGTCCTTCCAGTTTTTGCTCCCCCCCCGACTTGGTAAGTCGATCCAGTTGTCGTCATTCTCAATGTTGAATTCGTCTTGGCTCAATTTTTTTCGTATCCTGCAATCATAAAAAAAAATAAAATACACAACACGCCCTCGCAAAACCCCCGTTTAAAAATAAGGAAAGAAAAAAAACAGTATCCCTTACAACACCCCAATTCCCCACCCTCACGAATCCACCACTTACGCAGTCCCCTTCACACAATACCATATGCTACATCGTCCTACGACATATTTGTCGCTGAAATGTCAAACTCTTAGTTTCCCCACAAAAAAATTATAGTACATTACCCCAAACGCTGTCATCCCTCGCCATCCCGCTTGCACAATCGTCCCCAACACAGACGTAATCACCCCGAAACAAAAAGAGAATAAAACGCAACATAGATAAAATTCTTGCCACTGCTCAGCTTGCTGGCTCCCCAGTTTCCTCGTCCTGAGTTTTTTGCAACCACTGTTCCACTAGGTCCCGACCTGGAAACCTGACCAGCTATGTCCCGGATAGGGAATCTCAATCCAATTCTATCCAGTTCGAAGGTGTTCAATCCCACACGCTTAGCCACCCGATAGGGACCCTTGAATCTCCTTCCCAACTATCCTGACCAAGTGCTTTCTTGTGCCAAATTTATGACCAGTCTCTCCCACTTGGAGTGACTCTTTCCTGATGTTCTCGATTTGATCCCAACTTGCCTTATCCTTCATCCTGCTATCAAGGACTCGGTTCACAATTTCTTCCATTGCTTTCTCGTTACTAAGGACCTGCTGGCATCGAGCCTCAATTAACTATTATGTTGTTAAGTGTGGATTATCCTCCAACTTGTCCCAAGTAGGTACCGAGGCTTTCACCGGGAAATCAATATCCCTTCCGTACCAAAGCTACTAGGATACACCCTGCGATATTTTTCGGCGTCACGTTGTAGGGCCCCACCCTGTTAGACGTTCGAGCCTGAGCCGACTTTTCTGCAGGTCCCACTTGGCTCGGCTCCGCCTACACTCATGCTCAGGGTGCGGAGCCATTCGTCACAGTGTTACCCCCACCTAGTGCTTTGAGATAGATGGGGGTGGGCCAAAGAGCGAGAAAGTTTTGACATTGGGGGATGTAGCTCAACTTTCTCGCTAGGTAGACAACTTTACTTTTTTCTTGCAAGCGTCCTTTGCGTAATGCTTTGTCGTGTTCTCATGCAATTGCTCCTTCCAATACTCAAGCAGTTCATGTGTGTCAAGCGTCCTCCTTGGGCCACACATCCCTTCATTAAGTGCAGGGTCTTAGAGGCTTTGTCAAGGTAGAGGGCCGCCCCTTAGCTTTGCTCTTTGAACCAAGTCACAATGCCCCTTACGCATCCTTAAGGCTTCACCTGTTTTGTTCTTTAGGCAACCAACGTGTGGCTTTTGCAATCCCATACATCATTCATATCTCTTTTCATCCTGCCTTGATGCTTGCCTATACACCCCTTAATCTTTTCGGGGCCCTGCCCACATGATCAAGTGCCTTGGCGGCCGCTTCGACCGCCTGATAACTTTGCAAACCTCAACCGTACAGACCACCTCTTTTCTTCGCATTTGGGACCATATGCACACAATAATCATTCATGGGGGAAGGTTACGTTCACAACCTGTTTGGCTTTTGTCCCCCTTTTTTTTGTCGCCCGACCTATCCAGACACGATCCAACTCAATGCATCTTTAAAGACTACTTACCTACACAATCAATACTGGCCCGACAAATACAACCCCCGTTTGGGGTTAATATATAATCCCTCCCGTATGCCTAATTTTCCTTTGTCCTTTGGTTCCTTCCTTGTCCACTTCCTTCTATTGTCCAAGCTATCCTCTTCTGTTAGTCATGGACTCAGGGTGTTGGTTGAATCGACTGTCCTCTCTTTTACTTAGCAATTATCTCGAACCCAAGCCTCAAGTCCTTTGTGTTTCTCAAATCTTTTTCTTCCAACCCTCAAGCACTTTTCCTTCTTGGTGACGCAAGGGACCGACACCCCTCCCCTTGCCGTCTCTTTCTACCAAGTGAGGCCAAAATTATTTCACCGTTCCTTTTTCCTTGCATTGTGACAAGTAAGGGCGGGGTTAGTCGCATGCCAAAAGAGAGAGAGGGAGGGGGGTGGAGATTAAACTTAGAATATAGGAGGGGTACAAGATGGAGAGTTTGTAAACGAGGGAGAGTGAAAACAAGACGAGGAGAAAAAACGAGAGCGCGCGCGCGTGCAAGAGAGAGAGAGAGAGAGAGAGAGAGAGAGAGAGAGAGAGAGAGAGAGAGAGAGAGAGAGAGAGAGAGAGAGACCCCTTAAACCTAATCAAAGGTTACCCTCTATCCATCCTACCGTCCTACCGAAGACCCCTTTTCCTGATTTCCTGCCTTATGTACCCTTGGTCATGACATTGGCTGTTGAAGAAGGTGGAGGAGGAAGGAATGAAGTTAGGCGGATATGGCAGATGGTTGTGGAAGGTGGAGGAGGAGGAAGGGGTGAAGGTGGTTGACTATGGTGGATGGGTGAAGGAGGTGGTGGACGAACAAGGTGTGAAGGTTTTTGGTTATGGTGGATGAATAAAGAAGGTGGAGGAGGAAGGAGGAGTGAAGGTGTTTGGCTATGGTGGATGAGCGAAGGAGGTGGAAGAAGAAGGAGTGAAGATGGTTGGCTCTGGTGGATGGATGAAGGAGGTGGAGGAAGAAGGTGTGAGTGTGCTTGGTTATGGCAGACGGGTGAAGGAGGCGGTGGAGAAAGAAGGTATGAAGGTGCTTGGCTATGGTGGACGAGTGAAGGAGGTGGAGGAGGAAGGAGGTGTGGATGTGCTTGGCTATCGTGGATGAGTGAAGGAGGTGGTGGAGGAGGAAGGTGTGAAGCTATGGTAGATGGGTGGAGGAGGTGGAGGAGGAAGAAGGTGTGAAGGTTCTTGGCTATGATGGATCGGTGAAGGAGGCGGTGGAGGAAGGTGTGAAGGTGTTTGGCTATGGTGGATGGGTGAAGGAGGTGGTGGAGGAAGAAGGTGTGAAGGTGCTTGGCTATGGTGGGTGGGTGAAGTTGGTGGTGGAGGAAGAAGGTGTGAAGGCACTTGACTTTGGTAGATGGGTGAAGGAGGTGGAGGAGGAAGAAGGTGTGAAGGTGCTTGGGTATGGGGGATGGGTGAAGAAGGTGGTGGAGGAAGAAGGTGTGAAGGTGCTTGGTTATGGTGGATGGGTGAAGGAGGTGGTGGAGGAAGAAGGTGTGAAGGCGGTTGGCTGTGGTGGATGAGAGAAGCAATGGTAGAGGAAGAAAGTGTGAAGGTGCTTGACTATGATGGATGGGTGAAGGAGGTGGATGAGAAAGAAGGAGTGAATGTGGTTGGCTATTGTGGAGGGAAAAGGTGTGGAGGCGCTTTGCTATGGTGGATGAGAGAAGCAAGTGGTGGAGGAAGAAGGTGTGAAGGTGCTTGACTATGGTGGATGGGTGAAGGAGGTGGATGAGAAAGAAGGAGTGAATGTGGTTGACTATTATGGATGGTTGAAGAAGGTGGAGGAAGGAGTGAAGGCGGTTAGCTATTGGGGATGGGTGAATGAGATGGAAGAGGAAGAAGGGGTGAAGGTGCTTGGCTATGGTGGATGAGTGAAGGAGGTGGTGGAGGAAGAAGGTGTGAAGGTGCTTGGCTATGGTGGATGGGTGACGGAGGTGGAGGAGGGACAAGGTGTGAAGGTGCTTTGCTATGGTGGATGGGTGACAGAGGTGGAGGAGGGAGAAGGTGTGGAGGTGATTAACTATGGTGGATGGGTGAAGGAGGTGGTGGAGGAAGAAGGTGTGAAGGTGCTTGGCTATGGTCGATGGGTGAAGGAAGTGGAGGAGAAAGAAAGAGTGAAGGTGGTTGGCTATGGCGGATGGTTGAAGAAGGTGGAGGAGAAGAAGGAGTGAAGGTGGTTGCCTATGGGGGATGGGTGAAAGAGATGGAGGAAGGAGGGGTGAAGGTGCTCGACTATCATGGATGGGTGAAGGAGGTGAAGGAGAGAGAAAGTGTGGAGGTGCTTGACTATGGTGGATGGGTGAAGGAAGTGGAGGAGAAAGGAGTGGAGGTGCTTGTCTATGGTGGATGGGTGAAGGAGGTGGTGGAGGAAGAAGGTGTGACGGTGCTTGGCTATGGTGTACGGGTGAAAGAGGTGGTGGAGGAAGGTGTGAAGGTGCTTGACTATGATGAATGGGTGACGGAGGTGGAGGAGGGAAAAGGTGTGGAGGTGCTTGGCTATGGTGGAGAGGTGAAGGAGGTGGAAAAGAAAGAAGGAGTGGAGGTGCTTGTCTATGGTGGATGGGTGAAGGAGGTGGTGGAGGAAGAAGGTGTGAAGGTGCTTGGGTATGGTGGATGGGTGAAGGAGGTGGTGGAGAAACAAGTTGTGAAGGTGCTTGACTATGGTAGATGGGTGGAGGAGGTGGTGGAGGAAGAAGGTGTGAAGGTGCTTGGCTATGGTGGATGGGTGACGGTGGTGGAGGAGGGAGAAGGTGAAGAGGCGCTTTGCTATGGTGGATGGGGGAAGCAGGTGGTGAAGGAAGAAGTTGTGAAGGTGCTTGGCTATGGTGGATGGGTGAAGGAGGTGGATGAGAAAGAAGGAGTGAATGTGGTTGTCTATTGTGGATTGTTGAAGAAGTGGAGGAAGAAGGAGTGAAGGCGGTTAGCTATGGGGGATGGGCGAAAGAGATTGAAGAGGAAGAAGGGGTGAAGGTGCTTGGCTATGGTGGATGGGTGAAAGAGGTGGTGGATGAAGAAGGTGTGAAGGTGCTCCGCTATGGTGGATGGGTAACGGAGGAGGAGAAGGGAGAAGGTGTGAAGGTGTTTGGCTAGGGTGGATGGGTGAAGGAGGTGGTGGATGAAGACGGTGTGAAGGTGGTTGGCTATGGTGGATGGGTGAAGGAGGTGGAGGAGAAAGAAGGAGCGAAGGTGGTTGGCTATGGTGGATGATTGAAGAAGGTGGAGGAGAAGGAGGAGTAAGGTGGTTGGCTATGGTGGATGGGTGAAAGAGATGGAGGAGGAAGGAGGGATGAAGGTGCTTTGCTATGCTGGATGGGTGAAGGAGGTGAAGGAGAAAGAAAGTGTGGAGGTGCTTAACTATGGTTGATGGGTGAAGGAGGTGGAAAAAATAGGAGTGGAGGTGCTTGTCTATGGTGGATGGGTGAAGAAGGTGGTGGAGGAAGAAGCTGTGAAGGTGCTTGGTTATGGTGGACGGGGGAAGGAGGTGGAGGAGAAAGGAGTGAAAGTGGTTGGCTATGGTGGATGGTGAAGAAGGTGAAGGAGAAGAAGGAGTGAAGGTTGGTGACTTTGGGGGATGGGTGAAAGAGATAGAGAAGGAAGGAGGGGTGAAGACGTTTGGCTATGGTGGATGGGTGAAGGAGGTGAAGGGGGGAGAAAGTGTGGAGGTGTTTGTCTATTGTGGATGAATGAAGGAGGTGGAGGAGAAAAAAGGAGTGGAGGTGTTTGGCTGTGGTGGATGGGTGAAGGAGGTGGTGGAGGAAGACGGTGTGAAGGTGCTTGGCTATGGTGGATTGGTGAAGGGAGGTGGAGGAGAAAGAAAGAGTGAAGGTGGTTGAGTATGGTGGATGGTATGGGGGATGGCTGAAACAAATGGTGGAGCACAAAGGGGTGAAGGCGCTTGGCTATGGTGGAAGGAGGTGAAGGAGGGAGAATATGTGGAGGTGCTTGGCTATGGTGGATTGGTGAAGGAGGTGGTGGAGGAAAGAGTGAAGGTGATATTGGGCTTCAAGTCTTGTCCTACTTGGGTCCACCAACGTCGGAATCATCAGAACACTCAGACTTGCGAAATTCAAACTTGCAATATACATTCAAATTTTGCAAGACTCATATTTGCAAAAATAACTCAGACCATGAAAAACTTTGATTTCTCACATTTCCAATTTCGCTGATTTTGCTAGGGGAGGGAGAGCCGAAAAACTCAGATTTGTATTTGCAGGCCTAAATGGTGTCAGATGACTTCGTAAGTTTATAGACCCGTTTTGTATACCCTACCTACGACCCCCCTAAAGTTTGGTTGATTCCTTCACCCTGACCCTACTTTCCCGTTCGAGCATCGCCCGAGTCCCTAAGTGAACAGTTCGGGGAAGTCCATTTTCTGTTTTTGTTGGAAAATGATTTCAAATGGCCTGGGGTTTTGCAGTCCATCTACCTACACTTAGGATATGGGGCCTGTCAAGTCTCAGACCCCATATCCCTTGTTTTGGTGGAGTTGGTTTTCGGCATCCCAGGGTTGTGCCGGCCCGTTGTTTTTTTTGGACCGGTCCTTGCCCCCGTGTCCGGTCAACGACTCTAAGCAACAGTGGCAGCCAAGAGTTTGGTCAGACATCATCAACAATAGCAGTAGTTCCACAATCATCATCATTATCACAAGAGGCGGCTACAATCCCCTATTCTACTCCCCCCTATACCACGTTCAAATATAGCACGGGGTAGGTTGAAGAGGTGTTCAAATAAAGCACAGGGGGGGATGAAGCGGTATTGAAATAGAGTAAAAACTGTTACAAACGCACAGTCCTACTATGCATATTCAACTGCTGGGAGACATCTGTAATGAAGCAAAACAATGTCTGGTGGATAACTTGACAAGATGCATGAGTTACAATAGTCAAACGTTCACACATGGTCAGTACAGTCAAAGATTAAAGTGACGATTTTTCAACCAAGTGAGGAAGCGGGTAAAACACGAAGAAAAAAAACTCACAACACTAGAACGACTAAAGGTACAGGTTGCGATTTACAGCCAAATGAAGAATTGGCCAAAAGATAGAGGGAGAGTGACGGAGCTTGAAAACACAAAGTACAACTGATGAATTACAATGAAGTGGGAAAATGAACAAGCATGAGTAGATGCCGACTGTAACACTAGAACGAGCAAAGACAAATGTAGCGATTTACAACCAAGTGAAGAAATGACCAAACGATGGAAGGAGAGTGAGTCAAACTCTCTACCAAGCTTGAAAACATAAAGTACAAAGAAGCGAATTACAGTGAAGTGGGAAAATGAACAAAGCATGAGTAAATGATGACTATAACACTAAAATAAGCAAGGACAAAATTAACGATTTACATCCAGGTGAAGGATTGGCCAAGAGAGGGAGGGAGAGTGAGTTTGAAAACACACAGTACAAAGTGGCGATTTACAATGGAGTAAGAAAATGGACAAAGCATGAGTACATGATGACTACAACACTAAAATAAACAAGGACAAGAGTAACAATTTACATCCAAGTGAATAATTGACCAACAGAGGGAGGAAAAATGAGTGAAACGCACTCCCAAGCTTGAAAAGACGAAGTACAAAGTGACGATTTACAATGGAGTGAGGAAATTGACAAAACATGAGTAGATGATGACTACAACACTAGAATATGCAATGACAAACATAGCGATTTACATCCAATTGAAGAATTTGTCAAAAGAGAGAGGAAGAGTGAGTGAAACTTACTCCCAAGCTTGCAAAGTGACGATTTACAATGGAGTGAGGAAGTTGACAAAACATGAGTAGATGGTGACTACAACATTAGAATAAGCAAGGACAAGAGTAACGATTGACATCCAATTGAATAATTGGTCAAAAAAGGGAGGGCTCAAGCTTGAAAACACAAAGTACAAAGTGACGATTAACAATGAAGTGACGAAATGGACAATGCATAAGTAGATGATGACGGTAACACTAGAGTAAGCAATGATAAAAATAGTGATTGATATCTAAGTGATGAATCGACCAAAAGAGAGAGGGAGAGTGAGTGAAACTCACTCCCAAGTTTGAAAACATAAATGACAACGTGACGATTTACAATGGAGTGAGGAAATTGACAAAGCATGAGTAGATGATGACTACAACACTAGAATAAGCAAAGACAAAGTTAACGATTTACATCCAAGTAAAAAACTGATCAAAAGAGGGAGGGAAAGTGAGTGAAACTTACTCCATAACTTGAAAACACAAAGTACAAAGTGACGATTTACAATGGAGTGAGGAAATGATCAATATGGAGACAACCGGTAGTGGAGAAGCTAGTTCCTACTTTCCCTATGCTTAGTATGTTATTCATGGAAAAAAAAAGAGGAGGAGAGAAGATAAAAAAAGAAAAAAATGAAGGGCGAGTGAAAACGAATGCAGAAGAATTGGAAGAAGAAAGAAGAATACAACATGATGAAAAAAAAGAGGAGGAAGAAGAAGAAAGTATGACAAATAGATGAAAAAAAAAAAAGAAAAAAAAAAGGACAACGACGAAGAAGAAGAATGTAATGAAGAAATGAAGCACCTTCTCATTTTTTTTCACTCACCTCCTCTAGTGTCTTGTAGTTGAGATGCCGATCTTGATGAAACTTCCCTTCTCTCTGCACTTTTGTTGCCTAACTATGACTTCTTTTTTCTTCAAGTCTTCATCCTTCTGCCTTCCCAGCCTCTTCCTGACTATGGCAAACCCGTATCACTAAGGCTATGAAGTTCTTCCCTCTAGGAGGGCTAAGGGGATCCCTACCAGTCTTTTTTTCTTCCACACAGCCTGAGGGCTATGGCGGATCACTCCCCTAGGCTGGCACTACCACTTCTAGCCTCAACAGTTCTCCTTGCTCGCCTAGTGTCTTCTCCAAGCTCCCAAACTAATAGCGGTTTCCCTCCTCTCACTCAAGTTGAGTGTGGAGCTCCCTTGGGCTCATACGGGGAACATGTACTTGACTCATGCAAATGTGACTGTGACGGGTTGGTCCCCTATCTTAAATAGGTTGGGCACAATGGTCCGGCCAACCCATGAGCCTCTTCATGTGCCGCATGGTGAATCGAGGTACCCCCAAGACTTTGTTTCACTAGTAGGCCTTTCCGGGAGTACTTGAGTCGTTTTTTGGTCAAGTACATGTAGTCCAAATGGTTGTTACCAACTCGGACTGCCGTTAAGGCCTCCATATGCATCATTTTCATTTTTAGATGCTACCCCTTGGGGGTCCGATATTCAAGGGGCAACCCTACGCGAAAGAAAAATGCCTTGTGACTTTTTTTCTCGATTTCCCTTGTCATATCCCAATTTGAGTAGGCCCAGGCATTTCCTTATGCCATGGTACACTTTTAGCCTTGAATCTGGCTATGATCCAAGATCAACATTAATCCGAGTCACCCCCAAGTGACCCTTGCTTCAAATTTGAGCCTTATGACCCCCCTTTTTAATTTATGGTACATCTGACCTCAATTTTTGACCAAATGCATTGTTCTATTTTTTTCGTTCTTTTGTTTCATTCCATTTTGGACTGCCAACTCATTCCGGAGTTGGCCATTTGTGTTGGCCTCACAAAAAACGACCATATCACCTCCTCCACGGATCTCAATCTCAGATCCATGACCCAAAATAAAACTGGTCGATTTTTTTTTGTTTTTTATTTCATATTTGTCTTTTAAATAAGATATTGTCGAGATAATGCAACAAGGACCTTATTTCTTCACTTTGGATTTGCCTCCATTAAATTCGAAGTGATGAGGTCACAGTAGGGGTCTGCCAGTCCCTACGGTGCCAGTCCCAACTAGCCGACTCATTTTCCTTTACCTCTTTCTCCCCCTTTGTCCTATTCTCTCTCCTTTTCTCTCCTTGTTCTTTTCTTTTCTTTATTTTTGACATGACAAGTGCCAAGCAGCTGTTGAGGTTTTTTCTGGGCCATGGATCTTAGTCTAGATCCAAATCTAGATCAAGTTGTTGACCGTTGTATCTCGGATCACA